TTCGCAGAAAAAGACGCCTATTAAAATATGCAGTGCTATCTCGAATTTGACGTTAGGATTTAAAAAACTACAAATGTATAAAGCCAATAGACCAAAGATTTTTTAAGACCAAGTTTTAATTTTTTATTTTGTACAGGGTGGTCACAAATTAATTTCAATTTCCAAAAATTTCTAGGACATTTTTTTTCAAATTTTTCAAATAGAACACCCTGTATTACTATTCATCGATGAAACGAGAATTTTATACCCTTCGACTTCCCCATGTACTTTCCTATACCTATCTGTCGTCGTTTAAAAGTAAATTCCAAAAAGACATTGATGTATCAAAAATCCAATTTCTACCAGTGGTTTTATTGAAAGTGAACATTCAATCAAGTAGGCTGGGTCTTAATGAAGTGTCAGATTATTTATTAATGAAGTGTCAAGTTATTTTTACTGATCGCGATAATTCTTCTATTAATAATGAATTTTACGAAAAACGAATTAATTGACATGGTCTATGTTTTGGGGGAATCCGACAGAAATTATTTATTGGCAAAAAGAATTAATCATCAACGATATCCCGATAGACGCATCCCTGATCAAAAAAGTTTTGAAAAGTTACATGAAAGATTTACCGAAACAGGAAATGTTGCTTATAAAAAACCAATAATTGACAAACGTGCTAATGATAATGATAACCAATTATCTGTAATTTTGACAGCGATAGAAGATCCTCATGTAAGTCAAAAAAAGGTTGCCGAAGTAGTAGGTATAAGTAGAACATCCGTTAGAAGGATTTTAAAACAGCATCAATATCATCCTTATAAAATACAATTGCATCAAGAGCTAAAAGACACCGATTTTGATAATAGAATGGTGTTTTGTAACTGGGCACAAACTAAACTGCAACAAAATCCATTTTTTTTTTTATAGAGTGCTGTTTTCTGATGAATCTACATTCCACAAGAACGGATTCGTTAATAGACATAATTTCCACTATTATTCCACGGAAAATCCTAACATCATCAGAACACATAGCCAAGAAAGATGGAGTGTAAATGTTTGGGGAGGTATAATTGGAGATCATGTTATTGGGCCGTATTTTTTTGAAGGCAACTTAAATGGTCTGATGTATTTAGATTTTTTAGCAAATCATCTTCCTACTTTACTTGAAAACATTTCCCTTGCTGTAAGACTAACAATGTGGTACCAACATGATGGGGCAGCAGCGCATTTTTTACGCGAAGTGGCAGATGAATTAGATGAAAAGTTTCCAAATAGATGGATTGGTAGAAATGGTCCAAAAAAATGGCCAGCTCGATCACCTGACTTAACAAAACCCGATTATTTTTTGTGGGGTTATATTAAAAATCTAGTCTATCTTACGCCACCTACAACACCTGAAAATATGAAAGAAAGGATAGTGCAAGCTTTCCATTCCATTACACCTGATATGCTTAGAAACGTTTCTCGATCATTCGCCCAACGAATAAATGTATGCATTAGAGAAAATGGCAGACATTTTGAGCATCTTTTATAAAATGTAAATTTATGTTTTAGGATAAATTTCAAATAAATTTTATTATCGTAATTTTCTTCCTTTTGAATTTATTTTATAACGGCGACAGATAGGTATAGGAAAGTACATAGGGAAGTGGAAGGGTATGAAATTCTCTTTCAGTTGATGAATAGAAATACAGGGTAATACATTTGAAAAATTTAAAAAAATTTCCCTTGAAATTTTTGGAAATTGAAATTAATTTGTGACCACCCTGTACAAAATAAAAAATTCAAACTTGGACCAAAAAAATCTTTGGTCTATTGGCTTTATACATTTGTAGTTTTTTAAATTCTAACATCAAATTCGAGAGAGCACTGCATATTTTAATAGGCGTCTGAAAATGTAATATTTTTTGGTATTTTTTTTTCTGCGAAAGGGGTGGGATGTTAGGAACAATATTTTGTGGGTATGTACTAGTGACCATAGAGTACCTAAAATTGTAAAAAAAAGTTGGGACATTCCATTTAAAAAATTAAGTAATTTGCCTAATTTACTATTGGGCCACCCTGTACACAAGAAAATAATTTTGGGATATTTGGTATTGGCCACCATTGACAGGTATACATCAAATAAATCGTTAAGATTTGCATAGTAGGAGTTATAGAACTACGACAGAGGTTTGGCCAACCCTGTATATTTTTATCGCTTAAACTAAAAAAACTAAGTATAATCAATAAAAATCAATAATAAAATATAGGCAGCCAACAGTATTTACGGGAAAATAACATTAAATAATAGCGTGAAGTTAAAATGTATGAACAGAAGAAAATTATTATTTATATTTTCATTTTTGTTCGAAAGAAAACATAGAATGAATGATTAAAACTGGTTTCCTATCAGTAAGTCATAAAATTACATTCCAGCCATATACAATAATCAAAGACAGAAATCTAATTTTTGACGAACATTTAAGATTAAAGGGATGTTGAAGAACATCGTAAAATGATAATTTATTGTTTATTTAAAACCTTTCAAGCATCTGATGTCTACTGCTATTTCTAGTATTGCTGTTATTATTACAAAAATGAAGGTAATTTTTCTTCTCATTGTACAGCTATCCTTTTATTTCTTTGATTTAATTTCCACTTTGCTACTGAAAATTTTTATAATTTACACTGTTTTTTTGCTAGTATTTTTACAATTTACAACACAGCAACTCCGGTTGTTTATTGTATTGTTTTTACCTATTTTTTTTGAAGGTGTAGGTTGGTAGATTATTTTCGTAACTTACAAATCGAACAAAGAATGTTTTTTATAATTGATAGTCAAAAGATGATGATCAAACCAGTTTATTACATTAAAGTTGAAGGTGGTAGCCATGTGTGAGTTATATGTATTTACCTCTTTTTCAGTTTATTACACTTTAAGTCATCTTCAACCTCACGTTTTAGATTTTTGCACGTGTCTGATGAATATAAAATTACTGTATAATCAGCAGAATTATAGATTTTTCCAACAAAATTTTGGGTAAGTAGACCATTTATATAAATTGAAAAAAGTAGAGGTCCCAAAATTGTTCCTTGTGGTACTCCATAATTAATACTATTTTCATAGCTAACAGTATACATAACTTTTACGGATTGTTTGCGGTCTTGTAGATAGTTCTTAAAGATATTAAGTGCAATCCCACGTATGCCCACCCTCTCCAAGGATTCGAACAGTTGTGGGTGGTCAGTATCAAAAGCCTTGGCAAGGTCAAGAAAAACGCATAAGGAGGGTTTTTTATTGTCGATACGGCTGTACAATTTTCCAATTATCTGACCAGTGGCGTCATTTGTAGATACTCTACTTTTTAAGCCAAATTGTAAAGCGGAGATAACAGAGTTTTTCTCCATGAAAAGCATTAATTTATTTTTTATGGTTTTTTCAAATATTTTAGAAATTGTATTAATTAAGGATATGGGCCTGTAGTTAATCATATCGGTTGTGGTACCTTTTTTATAATCTTATCTTATCTTCTCCTGGAGATTTTCCATTTTTTAAATTTTTAATTACATCTAAAATTTCAGTTTCGTTAACAAGCGATAAATAAAAAGATTTTTCAATAGATTTTAAGGTTTGGTTTAAGCGTCAAGGGTTTTTTAATTTTTAATGCGTATGTTTCTCCTACAGATGCGAAATAGTTATTAAAATGGTTAGCGATTTCAAATGAGTCCGTTAAAATTTTCCCATCGTCTGTTAATATTTTTGTAATGTTTTGTTCGCCGTCTTTTTTTGTTTATTTTTATACAACTTTCCACATTTTGTTTTGTATTCCCTCGATTTTTTCAATTTCTTGCTGAAAACTATAACTTTATTTAACTTATTTCTAAATTTTGCATAATCGTTTTTTTTTTATTTCATTTGTTGGATCCTCTTTATGTTTTTTATATAGTTCCATTTTTGTTTTAGTGGAGTTAATTATAGCTGTAGTGATCCAGTCTGATCGAGGATTTTTTAAGTACGTAGACAGAAATAAGAAATCTACAGACGAATAATATAAGTTACATTTAAAATTTTGAAGGTCAGTTTTTAATTTTTCGTAATTTATAAAGTATTCAAATTTTTCATAATTTTTGATGTTTTTATTAATTTTATTTTCCATATCTCAGCCCCCGATTGTAGTTTTATGATTATTTATTGTTGAATTGTAAGTTACAGATAAGCAAGTTGATTGCATTTCATGTTTAGTTTTAGCGAAAATATGATCAATGCAACTAGTGGAGTGACTGCATTTATTAGTGAAACAAAATTGTATTCGGCCATTATATCTAAATACTCGCTTATCGAAATATGTTTTTCTTCTTTCAAAATATCTAAGTTAATGTCACCTACAAAGAAGTGATTTTCAACTAGTTGACTTTTTGTTTGTTCTAGATAAGATCGCAGTGATAATAAAAAGTCGTCCTTATCCCCAGCAGGAGACCTATAAACACATGTTATTAATATATATTATTTGTTCTTTGTTGTTTTTATTTTTATTTCAATGACTTTACAATATGCTATACTTACTATTTTTGCAGTGTATTCTAATTCTTTTCTAATATATGCTACCACTCCATCGTTTTTATTGAAGTCCCCTTCATTATAGACCACATTATAATTATCAATTTTATGACAGTATATATCTTGGATTATAAAACTTTCAGTTAATACAATTACGTCAATATTTGATGTAATTTGCCTTAAGTGTATTTGAAACTCATTGATATTTTTTTTAGACTTTGTATGTATGTATGTATGTATGTATGTAGTAATTTAAAATAATTTTTATTATATTCATTTAATCGTGAATTCAAATCAATAATATTACATTCCATAGTAATTACCGGGGTATAGTTAATGTCTCTAACAAATTAATTCATTTTTAAAGTGTATATAAAAAAGTAGAATGAACAAAACAACAATTCAACAGTATAAGCGAAATATGTTATATATCTACAGATTTTTTGGTGAATTTTTTGGATCTTGTAGAAATTTATTTCCTTTCATGTGCCGCTTCTTTTGTGCAGTCACTTTCGAAAACTTCTTCAGGTATAGGTGGTGATGGGGTGTTGATAACTTTTTGCTTCTGTGAAAGGCGCTTTTCCTCTTCTAATTTTTCTTCAAGGGAAATGTCTTCAACAGTGTAAGCTTTAATATTAATGTACAGTTTCTCTCCCTTTATATAACACCTGTCCTTCGTTTGTTTTCTAATTTCTTTCAGGCGTTTTGCTAAGATTTTATTTCTCTCTTGCTGAGCTTTGATTAAGTCCGAAGTAATAGTAATATTCGTACCTTTCAATTTCTTGCAATTTCTCAGTATATTTACTTTTGTAAATTTAGTAGTTAATTCTATTTTTAATGGGCCCCTGCCAATAAGATAAAGGTCACTTATGTCGCTTTCTTTGACGTCTACGTTGAGAAGACTATTTAGTTTATAACATACGTTCTTCGGTGTAACTTCTATTGGTTGAGAAACTAACCCAAAAATAAATAAAATTTTTTCTTCACGGTTTGGTGTACATGTTCTACTGTTTCTTTGAGTGTTTTATTTTCTTCTTCTAATTCTTTTATTTTTTCATTAACCAAGTCAATTTTTTGTAGAATCCTGCATTCACTAGCAGAAATGGCATTCTTTAACTCTTCAATGATATCTTCTTTTAATTTTTCCATTATCTTTATTTGCATTGTTAATAAATTATTTCTTATTTTCGGTTTTTATTTTGTCTACTAATCTCCCTGACTATATCTACAACCGGCTGCTTACTATCTTCAATACCGTTTGATAGCAAAAAACAACTGGTTTTATTTAGGTATTTTATATGTAGATAAATTGCATAAAAGTGTCCGATGTTTCTAAATGTCTTTATCAGTGTTGAACAATAATAATTTGTGATGTTTAGCAGTCACTATTTCACTTTAACTTTTTTACATGAAACTTGAAGGAGAAGCAGGACACACATTTTTACGTCTTTACTATTCAACGACTCGACTATTTTTTGAATATACTCGTTATCTCAAGTTTCTGTCATATTAGCAAAAAAGTATAACTCGATAATTCTTTCAAAAATAAATACTTAATATCCGATCAAAACTCAAATTTTTCAATATCTTACTTTTCTTAAAAACACACTGTTCTATCGCCAAACTCCGACAACTTATTTATAAAACATCATAGTTGTAACCATAGTAACCATATTTAATTTTATTTACTAGAACCTTTCCTGGCTAACTAGATACCTACCTTTATCCCCTCGTACCTAACCATTTTAGCAAATTAAAAAATATATCGATTGCATGTGTTTTGTTGGCATTTTGGAAATCTATTTACTTTAGGTTAATAAGTTTGCCTGTCATGTGTCTATGTATTTCATAATTACACCTTGTATATTCAAAAATAATAACTGAAAGTTTTTTTATTTGTTTCAGGTAAGCTTGCTGCGTATTATTCATTATAACCTTCGTACTCAATATTAAACTGAAAACGGTAAGTTAAACCATCTCTTTTTGGAGTAAAGAATGGATAGAGAAGATTAGTGAGAAAAATTAAAATTTATTAGTTTTCGGCTTTACAAAGCCTCATTATATCCTTCCTGAAATAGTGTTATGAATTTATAATATAATAGTTTTAGGAGGATAAAACAGACATTCACAAAAAAAAAATTAATATAAGAAGGCTTGAAACGTTATAACTGGCATTTAACGTGGTTTGATGTTAACTATAATTATGAATGGAACTATAATGAAAATATATAATGCTTGGCATTCTATATCATACTCTTCACAGTTTAATAGAACCCTTTAACCTCCATTTTGAATCAGATTTTTTTCTCAATCATCCCCTTATAAAACTTGATTTTTCCTAAAGATTTCAATTTAATATCGTTTTTTGTTTTTGAGTGAGGATTTTTTTTCAATATTTATTCATTCTCTTAGAGTTTGATTTTTATTATCATTTCAGGTTAATATCGCTTTTGATTTCAAATTTTTTTATTTCAACCCACTTGTCCCCCATTTTATTCATATTTTTTTAAATCAATATACTTTGTCCCTTTATAGGATATGATTTTTGCCAAAAATTTCAAGTTGGTATTATTGATCGTTTTTGAGTTAGGATTTTTTTAAATTTCAACCCCTCTTAAACTCCCTTTTTAATAACAAAGGGCTTCTTTTTTTTAATATTTCATCCCTCCTTAACCCCCCCCCATTTTTATTCAGCCTCGTCCCCTTATAGAGCTTTATTTTTCTGACATTTTCAAATTGATATTGTTTTTCGTTTTTGACTTGCGGGAAAAAAACGTGACATCGGACGGACGGACGGAAATAAACGCATAATACTCTTCAGTCTCTTTATAGACTAATGTGTCAAGAGTATTATAAACCATTTTAACCATAGCCAGGGTTATTTATTTTAATTTAGTTTCATTGTCCAACTCACCAACGTGGAAAAATATTTATAAACTTTAACAAAATAAATATTTGCGCATTCAGCAGTACCAACATGAATTTGAGAATATTAAAAGACTGAATAATTAAAAATTGGACATTTTAAATGTCATTATAACACTGGATAATAGGTAAATTATAATTTTGAAATTTAATAGAAATTAAATTTTAAATAAACGTACTTGCATTAGAATTTTTAAATATTAAATTGTCACATCATTGATTTTGTTCACAATTATTGATCAGATTGAAAATTATTACTACTAGATAAAAATATATTTTAAAAAGGTTTGTTCATAAAACAATGGTATAAAATGCTAGAAGCCAGTACATTGTTAGTTTCCATAGCCACTTTTAAGACATACGAATTTTTTAAAAAAGTATCAGTAAGCACGCTTGAGTGTAACGGGAGCCATAAGAACGACTCCAACAGCAGCACCAGAATTCATGGTAAACCTAACACCACTACACAAATTCATTCAAGGCAAAGCCAGGTCCGTCACATACAGTCTCTTCAGAGGTCCATCACCTATAAGCAGCTTGCATGGATGTGACTACAGCGAGCTATGCAAAGAGTTGGATAACGACCAAATAATGGGAATGCCTTCAAATGAAGTGTTCCCAAAATATAGCTTTCAAAAGCAATTTAAAGCAAGTTTAACAGTTAAGGAAACGTGTACGGAAAGACCTCCTATTCACGTTGAAATCACCTGGTAAAGAACTGTCCTCCAAAACCTATAAATGCTTAGAAGTAGGTATATACAGTGCCAAGCCACTGAGCTTAAGTAAACATGCGACGGTATTTCAGGTGGAAATAGCAGCAAAAGAGGTATTAAGACATAAGGTAAATTGAAAAACCATTGTCATATATTCAGACAATCAAGGGTTGCTAAAAGCACTCAGTTCAATGCAGGTATACTCAAAGCTTGTGTGGGACTGTTTGGAAGCCCTAACAGAGCTGGGTAGTCAAAACAGACTAACATTAGCCTGGACATAAGAGCAATGAAGAAGCTGATTCACTAGCCCGAGAAGGAGCCTCAAAGGTTAGCCCAGAACCCTTTTGTGTTGTCACAAAGACCGCTATGAGAACATGCACAAAACAGTGGATGTTAAAAAAAATTAAGGAATTGTGGAAAAATTCACCAGGACAGAGATAGTCCAAAGAGCTCTTAAAAGGACCATCACCAAAACTCATCCAGCATCTACTAGGACATAATATTAAAATACTAGAGTACTAGTAGGCCTACTAACAGGGCATTGTAGACTTATCAAATATATGCATAACATCGGTCTGGCAGAAGAGACCTTGTGCCGATTCTGTCAGGAAGAGGAGAAAACTGCAGTACACTTATTGTGCTACTATTATCAAGACATATTCCTTACACTTGGAGAAGAAAAACCAAGGGCAACTAGCTCTACGCCAGAGAACTACTTCCTAGTCTATGGAGTCTACTACAAAAGACCAAACTAAACAACGATTAAAGGATATCCACAATATATCTGAAAAGGTCGAGGTGGGGGAGGCTTAATTGCCCACAGTCCTAACGAAATCTAATCTGTCATTTTTAATATTTTTTCTACACCCACACGGATATTAGCTATTTTACTCATATACTATAAAACATAAAAGTATGCCATTGCGTACAACTCAACGAATATATTTCATATCCATTCTACCTAGTAAGCACTAATATCTTCGAGCATATATTTACTAGAGCAATCGTCCAAATGGACTTTGTTTTGGTACAGGGGGGAAAAATAGTGTCCAGCATTCCCATTGGTCTGTTTCGTTTTGCTAGGCATGTCAAATCGTTAATAATAATAATAATTATTATTATTATTATTATTATTATTATTATTATTATTATTATTATTATTATTATTATTATTATTATTATTATTATTATTATTATTATTATTATTATTATTTATTATTATTACTATATAGGCACCTACTTAAATAATGCAAGTTTATAAAATATGTGCATAATTTAAAGAATTTTGAAGGTATGTATCAAATTTATTATTTATATTAATTGCAAACCCCGTAAAAATGATGCGACACTGGTAATAGTGTCTAGACATTTCCCCTCAGAACGTAAACAAACCCTATTGAATGCGGACTCTATGAAATATATATGCTCGAAGACTAATATGAAATCCACCAATCACAGTTCGTATTTTTGTTACCCGGCTACAATTATTTTTTTAAATTTTAAATAAGTGACAATTCTGTCGAGCTAATTGTCAGTATATTTTTTAGTTTAACAAAGACGAAAAACTACTAGACTAATATTGTTTACAAAAATCGAATTGCAAACATTCACGGTGTTATCCACGTAGCTGTCAAATTATTACAAGTATCGGAGGGTATTGTTATGGTTATAATTCGGTATTGACTAAACCTAAAGCTCTAATTTTCCTTTAAGATATTTTTTTTAACTATCCTTTTTATTTGCAATCTGTAAGGTTACAATAGGCAAATGATTTATATCTATACTAGACCTGTATGGAAATTGTCCTGTGACAATTTAATTTTTTTTTTACATGAAATTGAATGTATATATTTATAATTTTAACGCGTCATTGCCAAATCAAGTTATGGCATAGCGTTAAAAATTCGTTAATCATCTTATTGACTAGGAAAAATAAAACTTACTTAGGGCACAAAATATTATCCGGTTTGTATTTAGTTAGTTTTTAGTTTAACACCTCTTTTAACTTATTGCTGCCCTTATCGTTATTCTCTTGTATACGAAAAACAAGGTTTCTTCCCGTAAAATTTTTTATATTGAAAGGAATAAATGAAAAAAAAAATTTTTTTTTAGCCACCAATAAAAAACAAATTCGTCCATTTTTATTATTTTTTTAATTATTCAAAAATACATAACTTTTAATAATTTTGAAATGGAACACAGACTAGTATCAAATTCTGTGAAACATTCTCCATTTAACCTACCTTCTTTTTTTTATAAAATAAGATACCAATATAGAAACTCTTGTTTCGATCACACTGCATAAGAACTGAAATAAATTTGTTTTATATTTATTTAAGCTCTAATTATCCGACAAAACGTCCTACCTATTTTAAAAATATTTCTTCTATGAAACACATTTTCGAATTTTGACATTTTACAAGCCTGATCAGAAGAGTAGTAGACGTTGGAGTTCTTTAGTTTGATTTTCATTAAATCCGATACCCAATGAGCACACACACTCGTTTTTTAAACGTAAATTTATCG